TTACCAACTTGATGTAAAGAATATCTTTCTTAATGGAGATCTAAAAGAAGAAGGCTATATAACTATTCCATCAGGAATGGAAACCAGTTCAAACAGCAGGTTAGTGTGCAAGCTGAAGAAGTCCTTGTATGGTTTGAAACAGTCTCCACGAGCTTGGTTTGATAGGTTTGCTAAGACAATGACTGCTAATGGGTATCACTAGTGTCAGGCTGATCACACTTTGTTCGTCAAAAGCAAACCAGGAGGAAAGATTGCTATTCTCATAGTATATGTTGTTGATATCATTCTGACAAGAGATGATTCAGAGGAAATTATCAGTCTCAAAAATATGTTGGCTACAGAGTTTGAAATCAAGGACCTTGGGACCTTAAGGTATCAGTCTCAAAAATATGTTGGCTACAGAGTTTGAAATCAAGGACCTTGGGACCTTAAGGTATTTTCTAGGCATGGAAGTGGCTCGGTCTAGCTACAGAGTTTGAAATCAAGGACCTTGGGACCTTAAGGTATTTTCTAGGCATGGAAGTGGCTCGGTCTCAAGAAGGAATTGTCATATCCCAAAGAAAATACATCTTAGATTTACTAAGTGAAACAAGTCTACTGGGATGTAAACATGCAGACATGCCTATGGACCATAATAAGAAGCTGAATAGGAGTGGAGACAGCAGTCCCATGGATAAAGGAAGATACCAAAGACTTGTTGGTAAGCTTACCTATTTGTCTCATACTAGACCTGACATTGCATACTCAATCAGTGTATTAAGCCAACACATGAATGATCCAAATGAGAATCATATGGAAGCGGTAAATCGAATCTTAAGGTACCTGAAGATGAATCTAGGGAATGGTCTACTATTCAGAAAGTCTGAAAAACAAGAAGTAGAAATATACACTGATGCAAGCTGGGCAGGAGAATTAACAGACAGAAGATCAACTACTAGTTATTGCTCATATGTTTGGGGTAATCTTGTCACATGGAGAAGCAAAAAGCAAGCTGTTGTCTCTCGTAGCAGTGCAGAATCAAGAGTATCATGCTTTGGCGTTGGGAATATGTGAAGGAATGTGGCTTCAAAGGCTTTTAAGAGAACTCAAGGTTCAAACACAGGATACAGTGAAGATGTTTGGTAACAGCCAAGCTGCTATTAGCATAGCTAAAAATCCTGTTCATCATAACATGATAAAACATATTGAGATCGACACACTTTTCATCTCTGAGAATGTCAATAACGGAATTGTTCAACTCAGTTTGTTCCAACAAGACAGCAGATTGCTGATGTTCTCACCAAAGCACTTCCAAGAGCTGTTTTTGATGAATTGAACTCCAAGCTTAGTTTGTATAACATATACAACCTAGATTGAGGGGAAGTGTAGAAAGGATTAGATTTAGTTCCTGTTTTAGAAAAGATTATATTTAGATTCTGTTTTAGAAAAGATTAGATTTAGTTTCTATTTTCTATTTTGGTTAGGATTCCTTATTTGAAGGAATTATATTTCCTTATTTGGTGGACTGGAATACCGACCACATCTTCTATATATTAGGCTGTAAATATTTCATTAAAAGTAAGAAAAAATACTTAATTTTTCTTCAATTCTCTCTGGTTGCTAGTCTCAATTCTATACGTATTCTCTTCTCTATTGTCATTAATTTGGATTGGTCGATATTTCAGTTGGATCTAAAGAACACCTTCTTATCTGGAGATTTTTAGGAGAAGGTTTATATAGAGCAACCTCAAGGATCTGTTGCTCAGGGGGAGAGTACTGTCTGCTAGCTTAAGAAGGTGATCTATGGATCTAATCAGAGTCTGTGAGCATGATGTGATATTGGATTTCATAGATGTCAGTCAGACCACTCGGTATTTATTCATTGCACTGCTTTAGGTATGGTTGTTTTAGCTATGTATGTTGATGATATCATGTTGACCGAAAGCAATATAGCTAGAATAGAAGAAACCAAGAAGTATTTCAAGCAACAGCTCAAAGCCAAAGACATAAGGCGCCCTAGGTTCTTTTTTAGGATTGAAGTTGCTTATTAGAAATATCAGTTATTTCTTTCCAAAAGTATGCTTTTGATCTATTAGAGGAGACCAGTCTTTTGGGTTGCAAGGCTCTGAGTACTCCGATGGATGCAGATGTACATCTTTGGGAAGAGGATAGTGAACTATTTGAGGATACAAGACAGTATAGAAAGTTGGTCGGCAAGCTGATCTATTTTACTGTCACTAGACTAAATATATCCTTTGCAGTAGGTTTTGTGAGTCAGTTCATGCACAAGCCTATAGAGGTTTATTGAAGCGTCGCACTAAGAATTCTAGACTATATCAAAAGCTCTCCTGGCAAAGGTTTAGTATACAAGCATGGTAATTTGCACATTTCTGCTTACTCATTCAGGTTATGCAGGAGAAAAGAGACAAAATCTACGACTCGATATTGTACCTTCGTAGGAGGAATCTTGTGACCTAGAGGAGTAAAAAAGCAAGATGTGGTATCTCAGTCTAGTGCAGGAGCTAAGTATCGGGCAATAGCGCATACTACCTGTGAGATGATTTCGTTGAAGCATTTGATGAAGGAACTTGGTTTTTGCAACCAGATCCTATGCATATGCATTATGATAATCAGTTTGCTTTCTGCATTGGAAAAACAATCTAGTTTTCCATGTGAGAACTAAACATGTAGAGGTGGATTGTCATCTTGTGCAAGATGTGGTAATGAAAGGATTGATATGGACCTCTTTCACGTCGTCTTCAGAACAATTGACAGATATTTTTACTAAAGTGATGTCCTCCAGGATCTTCTGTTGTGTAACAAGCTGGATCTGATAGATATCATGCTCCAGCTTAAGAGGGAGTGTTAGAATAAATTATTATATTTGAGTTAGACCCACATTGAGTATTCAATCCGTATTAGGGAGTGTATATGTTATGTACTACTTCACATATTAGATTCAATCTGATATGATATCTTAATTGACACCTATGATATGAAATAGATATACAATAATATTCCCTATGACATGGTATAACAAAAATGATTTAGAATGTATAAGGAAAAACGGTCGAAGTAAAAGTTTAGCATTTTGCCTAAAACAATAGATGCTACGTTATAAACCCTACACATTCTGCCTGAAATAATAGATACTATGTTTTAAACTCTACACAAAAAGAAACACTCTCACAATATCACACAATATCATTTATCCTCAATAAGAGCAGCCTCTAGCCTCCCACAAATGATGTTACATCCTTTTTTTTAAAGCTTGGTGCTTTGCTGCTGAAGCTTGCTAAAGGAGCCCTATGTCTTCCCTCTTTCTCTTCCACAACGTTGGGCACAAGTATCTAGGAAATTCTTGATACATGCAGAAGCTGACAAAGTAGAATGGTTGAGATAGCTTATTTCTTTCACTTCACAAAATTTGGCAGCACATGGAACACAACTAGAGATTGAGCGTGCTCCGGAAACAGAAAACTATAAACAAAGCTTTTAAGACCAGCAGTAAAGCTTTTACAGATTGGTAACAAATTCCAGGCAAGATGTGCTAGAACCTCGACAATAACTAGAGGAGCAGAAATCCACCCCTATTGGTCATACACTATAAGCAAAAAACAGAATGCCTGTTAATTGGTTAGTAGGTGAAAAAAGAAATGGATCAAAACTATGATATTACAATCGAAATTTATCATGTCCATCAGAAATAGGGGGTAATTGTAGGACACCCCTCATCAACACTGTTAATTGGTTAGTAGGTGAAAAAAGAAATGGATCAAAACTATGATATTACAATCGAAATTTATTGTGTTCATTAGAAATAGGGGGTAATTGCAGGACACCCCTCATCAACACTCCAGCACTGATAAGCCTTCAAGTGGGTTGTTAGCACAGCTTCAATGAGGATGTATTTATTAACCACAGAAGTACCTTTGACAAGGGCCCTTCCAATATACCAAATCTACAAAATTGTGATGAGAGTTAAGGGTTATAATTTTATATTCGAACATGCTCCCACAGGTTGTCCAGGCTTTTTTACCGGCCAAAGATTAGACACACAGAGTGGTACCTCTTTTTTTTATGTAAACCACTCTAGTTCACTAAAAAAATCCTTTTGTAGCTAATCATTTATCGAGAAAAGTTGAAAAACTCAACATGAGGGAGGAGAAAGAAATAATAGTAACTTGGTCTAGGGCATCTACCATTATACCCAAAATGATTGGCCATACAAAATTGTCGCTAGTATGATCTGTCCTGGGTCGCTCTGATAACATGTCAAAGGACCCATCCACTACACCAAAATTTCAAAGTTATGGTGAGGGTTGAGGTTTATAATTTATACCCTCACATACCTAAAGTGCTAAGAACCAACCTTTTAGGATTTTGTAAGCTGACCACCTTGAGGGGTTATAAGTCCCCAGACAGAAACCTAGGTCTCACATTGCTTCAATACACCCATCTGACAAAAGATATGGGACCACAGTTTTGCAAACATATTTAATGCCCTAATTTAAACAATAGCAGAATTTATAGAATTGAAGGTCAGTGTTATCGCAAAACTTTTTCACAAGAAAATGGACTGCATGAATATTTATTGCATATCATAGAATTGAGGAACAATTTGATCAAGAAATTGTAATTGTTTCAAAGTTATTCATTAAGTGCTGTTCTTGATTAATTGACGAAGAAACAGAACACCCATGACCCTAGAATTCATCATCAAAGATATGCTTTTAATAGTAATAGTTTGTGAGCACATGAACTAAAACCTGAATTTATACTGTAAATAATGTACAGAACCAAAGAAAGAACCTAACATTCTAACAATGATATGTTAACATAAGAAAAATGATTAAATAGCAATCATCTAAATACTTAATTATACATAATCATATTTAGTTACTTTTCTCAAAAATATGAGGAAGCTGTAGAATCAAATAAAAAAAATACTTGTAAAACATGATATTCAATTGAAGAGAAAATGTTAGACTAAAATAATAAGCAACCTGCAACTACTTCACCTGATATAAGGGCGATATGTGATACCACCGATCACCACATTACGCCTAACAATGCCACCAATCACCACATTATCCCTAATGACCATCATGGATTTGTGGCTTCTGCAACAAATGAAACATAAAAACAATGTAAAAAAGGAGATAATAAGCTCACATAAATGGGTTTGGTTGGTTTCACATAAACAGTTTTATGCTCAAGAGGACTATTAATCAACTAGATTGGTATAAAGTGTGAGAACAAGTTGAGCACATCAAGATAAAGAATGAAATAACTTAATTGGCTGCAAAATGATACTTTATCCCCATGGAAATGAGAAATTTGTGGGGATTGCAGAATTAGAAAAGGAACCAGAAAGAAGGGGAAAATAGAAAGAAGAAAATAAACTATAGTGATCATAGTCGAAAGGAGATGGATGTTGGACAATCAACCATTTCCTGAAATATACGGTGAAATAAGGGAATCATCACCTTCTTCTTCATCATAATCACTACCACAACTATTTCTTTTGTTCCTGTTTGGTAAAAGGGGGGTCAGATATGGGCACAAATCCATATCAAGAGGGCAATCTAACACATTTGGTGGCCACTAATCAATGAACATCGAACCTTAACCTGGTGCAGGAGAATCTTCCTGTAGTACCCAAAGGACTGATTTATGGGTATGAAAACCTACATCATTAATTCCATTCCATAGTGAAGGATAACGCAACCAACGAGAACTTGTGCAAAAATCTCATAGCTCAATTGATTATTTTAAGTAACTTCTCAAATTACAGTCATCCTATATTGCTAATAAAATTTCTAGGCAAAAGCCTTAATGACAGTGATGACGATGATAAACAAGATAATTGAAGAACAGAACATTTATGTAAATAAATTTAGTTGGAGGAATAGATGAAGTAAACTCTATCCTTTTCTTAGATCAAAAAATAGAAGAATGCTACTAAAGTATTCAAATTACTTTGAATATTAAATTTACAGTAGGGTATAATTGGTAAAATATTACAAGGTAGTGCACATCAGTGTTATCGAGACACAAGGCGTAATGCGGGGCGCAAAGGTCCCTTACGCACACCATGCGCAAAGCCACAACGAGGCGCGCGCCTCACTAAATTGAGGCGCATAACTCAAACTAATATTTTCTAACATAAGACAAAGAAGCATATAAGCAACATGTTTATATATTATCTTATGAAAAGACTAAGAAATATAATTTCACCTACTAAATCACGAAAGAGTCTTAATTAGCATGCATAACATAGAGAAGTTCATAAGTTTTCACAAATCACAATGCAAGATAATATCCAACATGAGCAAAAGTCTACGAAAGAAAATAAGCCAGTAGTAAAATAACAGTGTCTAGTCATCCTCATCATCATCGTCATCCAACTGAAGTGGAATTTCCTCATCCCAGTTTCCTCCTCTTCTTCATTAAAATCTTATTCATCCTCCGAGTCCGGCTCGCTCCTCCTAGATGATGAAGCAATATCATTTGAAGATCCTCGAACCCTAGCAGTAGACTTTAAAGTTGGTCCAAATTTTTCTTCAACTCTCGTTGCTTCACCTACAACACCCCATCTAAGGTTATCCTCCTCATCCACCAAGTCATTCTTCGCATTGTCGCCCTCTCCAAATTGACCTAACAACCACTCGTTGCTTTCATCTATGTCAATCAACTTGATTGGATCAACAATATCTCTGCTGTCAAATCTTTCCTTCAAACCTTGATTATATTTGTAATATACTAGATCCTGCAACCTATTGTGATCCAACCTATTCCTCTTCTTAGTGTGTATCTGCAACTCATAAAGTCAAATAATCAAATTAGTACTCGAAATCCTTAATTCTTTAAGCATATGTTTATTCAATTAAATGAAATTAAGCATACTTGTTCAAAAGTTCTCCAGTTTCTTTCACACCCAGAGGAGCTACAAGTGAGACTAAGGATCCTTATAGCAAGTTTCTGCAGAATCGGAGTTGCTGCACCGTAAGAATCCTACCAATCAGCTGTCAAGATACACAAAGTAATCAATACGAGTATATGATAATTTATTAATTTATTTAACTAAAAAATATGTGTACAGAACTAATTGATATATTTTACATGGAGATTTCTTTTCTCGGTTTCTAATAGCTATAGGCATGCCAAATAAATCTTGTGCTTCTTTGTATAAAGTCAACTCTTGAGAAATTTTATCTTGATCATGTTAGGGTACAAGCAAGGTTGCAGATAGCGGATCGCGGTGCGTCGCGACGAGGTACCGCTAAGGCTATATCGAGCTATTGCGGCGAAATCGTGGCAAATAGAGCACAATCAAATAGCGGTCAAATTTAAATATATTTAAATATCCTAAATAATAAGAAAATTCATAAAAAAATCTAAAAATTCAATTAGTTGTAAATTTCTTACATTATCAATAAATAACAATTAATAAGCTTGTTGTATGAATGAAACTATGAAAAAATTCAAGAAATATAGCATCATAATATGTGTGATAGCGGATTTAGCCGCTTTTAACAACGAAAATCCGCTTTTAACCGTAAAAATCCGTTTTTAACCGCGAAAACCCTCTTTTAACCCGCTAAAATCCGTTTTTACGCGCTATTCGAATGAATAGCGGATTTTCCCGCTTAAGCCAGCCGCGAAACCCCTACGCGTAGCGCTGAAGGATCGCGACCGCTATTCGCGCCGCTATAGCCCGCTATTGGCCGCTATTTACAACACTGGGTACAAGCTTATGAATGACCTCCCAGAGGTCTTTCATGATCTCTTTATCAGCTTGAATGTTGGGGTGAGCATAGAAAAAGATTGGATTAAAGTAAAACCTTGCAGCATGCAAAGGATGATGTAACTGAACATTCCATCTCTTATCAATCATCTCAAATACCTCTAAATATTTACTTGCATCATCACCAAAGGCTTTTGCAATAGCCTCTTTGGCTCTATCCATAGCCTCATAAATAAACTCCATGCCGGCTTCTTCTCGTTATCAACAAGCTTCAGAACACGAACAAAAGGACCCGTGAGCTTGAGAACACGAACAACATTATTCCAAAAGTTAGTCGTCTTAATTGTCCTCTCCGCCGCTTTCCGTGAGCTTGAGAACACGAACAACATTATTCCAAAAGTTAGTCGTCTTAATTGTCCTCTCCGCCGCTTTGCCCTTTGGATCTCTTGCCCACTTGTTTATTCCAAAAGTTAGTCGTCTTAATTGTCCTCTCCGCCGCTTTGCCCTTTGGATCTCTTGCCCACTTGTTTTCCACCCACTTTTCGAAGCAAAAACATCTTTCTTAGATTATTTTTCTGGCTATGGATGCTTGATAAAGTCAAAAATGAAGTGGCAAACCGCGTCGCTACTGGTCTAAGAAGCTCTCGAGCGTTGATTTAATCTCTCATCAACCTCAAAACCTAACCATATGAATAAATAAAACTCGTCAACTCCATAGCACGACTCAAGGTTATCTTCACGAATGGTAGTTTTATGATATCCTCAAGTATGAGATTGAGACAATGAGCAGCACACGGTGTCCAATACATATGCGGATATTCATCATCAAGTATTTACCTAGAACCAACAAACAAACATCTCATTAGGATTCAATCATTCAATTTTAAAGAAACTAGAAAGCACATCAATCAATATCAAACAAATGAAATCAAATAAAAAATTTCTTACCGGCTAATTTGAGACTAGCATGATTGTCCGTTACAATTTGCACGACATTCTCCAGCCCTATCTTCTTAATCTCCTCATTTAAGATCTCAAACATCCTCGCACCAGTCTTGATCTCATCGGAAGCATCAATAGAGGAAAGAAATATCGTTCCGTGAGGAGAGTTCACAAAAAATTTATCAAAGTCCTTTCCTTCCGATCAGTCCAACCATCCGACATAAAAGAGCATCCTTTTTTGGCCCAAAGCTCCTTATAAGGTTGCATGAGATCTTCAGTGTACTTCTTCTCCTTCTTAAGAAATAGCTCTCGTAATTGGTGAAATGTTGGAGGTGGCAAGTTAGGCCCAAAAGCCCCCACTGACTTCAACATAATTCTAAAGGACCTAAGTCGTGCGGTATTAAAAGGAATTCTTGCTTGGTACCAACGGGCAATATCTTGATGCACTTTAGCAACTGTATCTTTGTTGTGACCTTCTTCAATGCTTGTTTGCCTCAATTTTCGCCTTCTATCATCTTTGGCTACTTCTAGTGTCGGGTCAAATGAGAGAAATGAATCAATAGGCCTCTTACTCTTTGTTGAAGACCTCACACTTCCCCTTTCTCTTGTAGATAAGGAAGATGATCTAGAAGTTGAAGTCAATACACCCTTTCCCCTGTTCCTAGTTGCTTGTGCTTGTTCAATTTCAACCTCGTCAACTTTATCTATTTCAAGCATGGCATCATCTTCAAGATCCGACATGTAATTTTCAACGGCTTGTTGTCTTCTAACAATTTCTTGTCTTTTGTCATAATCCTTAAGCTCATCAACCACATTCAAAGGAACTTTATCGCAAAGGGAAACATTTTTACGTCGCCTCGTCGTTCTAATAAGATGCTCCTTTTGCCTTGATATGCCGTCATTGGTGATCTTATTACAATAAATATACTTGTGCTTGTTGGAATTCTCTTCCTCAACTAGAGACTTGTACTTCCAAGTAGGATCTTGTCTTCTACCTCTATTCGCACTCGCCGATGCCAATGAAGACATACTCAAGTTTAGTAGTCACCGACACCCAAAATTATGAGAATGTCAACTTAAATCATCAAATTATGCTAACTGAATTTTTAAAGTAACAAATAAGATACAAGAAATATGTATTTTCATTTAAAACATGAAATATGTTTTTTTAAGTAATAATTAAGTGATTTACAATTAAATATTTATATGTTCATAATTTATTAGTTAGCATGCTAATTACTATTTTAAGCTCTTTTTTCTAATTATACTAATTACTAAGTTGTTGCTCACTGACTTTGTTTTTCTTTTTTACAGATTATACTTGAGAGTTAAGTAGCAAAAAGCAAGGATGAAGGATCAATCAAATTCTCAAAAAACAATTATGTAATTAACAGTTAGTGATTAACAACTAAGTGACAATTTTGCATAAAAAAGTTCTCAAAAAACAATTATCCACACCATAAACAGATGTCAGTTATTGTACTCAAAAAACAACAAATCATTTTCAAAATAGATAATGATTAAACAACACTATAAAACAAATATGTACTCAAAAACAAATTATTTTCAAAAAGAAGAAAACAAGAAAAGAGAAACTGAAAAAAAACTAACCTGAATATTGGTCGGCGACGGGGGAATCGGCGGCGAATGATTCGGCGGTGGCAGTCGGCGGAGTTGTCGGTCGACGAGCTGGAGAGCTGGAGAGAGCTGGAGAGGAGCAGCCGTTAGCCATGAGTGTGAGAGTTTGAAGGAGATTGACGAGAGAACCTTAAAAGATAAGGGTTTTATGAATAATAAGACCCGAAATCCGCTTTCAATCCGAAACTAAAGCTCAATACAGGCAATGAATCTGGCGCTTTAAAGCGGTGCGCCCGACCCGCCGCGTTCCAGACGCACACGAGGCGCCGCGCTCGCGTGCTCTGCAGCGCCCCGCCTCTGGTGCGGGGCGCTTTCGCTACAAGCCGCAGCACCTCGGGCCTGGGGCACGCCTGGGGCGCGCACCTCGATAACCCTAGTGCGCATTTGGAGAACCTAACTAATGCTTCTTGTACATTTAGAACTAACCGATTAGTACTAACCAAAGATCCATGTGCACCTAAAGTCGCAACATTTTTGGCAAAAATCAAGCATTTTTCCTTTTTTTGATAGGCAGTGTTCTAAATGGCGGATGTTGAGGACATAGTTGATGGAAAATTTTCATATCAGATAGCGAATATCAGGGATATATCTAAGATATTTAACAAATATGAGGATGTGATATAGGATAATGTGTGTATATATCATAGATGTTCACACTTGATGCACCAAAGAATGCAGCTCCAAGTGATAACTTTTGCAAAACTTTTACAAAACCTCAATTGAGCCCTAAATCTTAATCAAGTTATTTACATAAGTAGATATTTGTTTGGATTTAGACCTCAACTGAACTATAAATCTAGACCAATCTTTTAAAACAAATAAAAGTTTCAATCGACATCACAAGATTTCATTCAAATTTTTAAGGTTGAAATGTCACCGGATATGGCGGAAAAATTGTAATATATCGCCCAAAAATTTCCAAAAAAAATAAAGGATATTGAGACCATATTGTTTCGTGGCAAACCTTATCAGAAGGTTTTAGTACACAATAAATCAGCCATGTTGGGAATATTTAATTAATATACATACATATAGGGCAATATGTATATATAAATACATACATTCACACTAAACATGTGCGTATGGCAGTAAGGATACATCGTCGATATTTTGTAGATAGATCATTACTAAAAGTATGCATATATTGTTAGTCAAATGCCAGTCGTATCATTTAATAAGAAACCACACAAACTCTATAAATGCAATAGATATTACATATACAAAAAACAGAATTGTGAATCCATCATATACATGATTTTTAATTTTTTGCAATGGATACATCTATGACATGTTTTTGATATGTCACAGACTCATACTATACATCCAAATTTTAGCATACACCAAAAGAAGTATCCAACATGTACGACCAGATATCAGAATGCCCAAGTTTCAGATATATATCCAAAAAGGATACATGACTTTCTACAAAGTATCAGTGCTGCAAGAAACAAAACATAAAATCCAAAAGATAGTAGGAAAAGCATATTGTTTTCGTAACAAAATGAATTAGGTATAGGTAGGTAAAGAGAAACATCAATGAACTCAGTGCAATTTAAATCAGTATGCAAGGAGAATCGGGAATCACCTGTCCATAACAAGACGGACAATATACTCCTTGGGCATATTAGGCAGTTGCCTAGCAAATATGTTTTTCAATCCGATCAACCTGAAGCAAGCAAGAAGGAAAACATTGTAAAAATTAGCTTTGGAAGAACTTTAAAAAATAACTATATAGGCATTTACATGCAATGCAAAGTAAATACCAGATCATATGTTCATCAATGCCATCATTTGCACAACAAATAAATTTGAGTTTTCCAGCATCTTCCTGCAAATAAAATCATATTATGATTTTCATGATTAAAGGAGAAGCTAGTCAAACATGCATGAAATATTCAATTTTTTAATGTGTTATTTAAGGTTTTTAGTTAATGTTCATATTTAAACTTAAAAAGAAGAAAGGAAAATAAAAGGAAAGAATAAAAAGTTAAGATTTTGTTGTTCCTTTCTCCAGGGCTGGAAATGAACCAAATTATTAACAAAAGTTCATTAATTGTTTGAGGAATTATTTGGTTATTTTCAATCCGATAGCTTATTTAACTTTAAACAAATAATTTTTAGTATTCGAATAGGAAAACAAATAGAATTTAACAAGATGTACATTCGATTCATTTACCTATCAAATATTCGT